AAGATTATAGGGGATTGTATTGGAATCCAAGGCTAGACCACAAAATTGATAGCTATATAAATATAGCTAACAAACCATATGATAGTTTGGTTGTTCGCATGTATAGCAACATATCGAAGAAGTAATACAGTACCCATCCGAGTTGTGTTCCCTGCCATGGTCATCCCGCATCCGTCATGAATGTGATTCAATGCGAAAAAATGATGTTTTTTTTTTTTTTTTCTGACCCCCATGAATGGTGGTATAGTGACCTACCAATGGTATCTGATGCTATAGTGACCTATAATGATACCAATTATATCCGATTATACAGTATTATAACATATTATAACATACTATAACATATTATAACATATTATAACATATTATAACATATTATAACATATTATAACATATTATAACCATTTACAACTTATTCATTATACAGTATGATACCAATTAGACCAATCAAAATTGGAAAGCTAACTCTTGACACTGGCACTGATTGCTGGATTGGATCGATCGCTTGGTTCCCGCACACAGCCACGTCGCCTCTTCGTGCGACGAAGAGGCGAAAGATGAAACTTTGGATGTTCAATATTTAAAAGCTTGCTGGATTGATGAAATTTCGATGAAAATACATGAAATGACTTAGAATAACTTGGATCGTTGTTTTTTCTCATCTGTGCCTTGTGCTGAACTTCGCTGTAAATGGTACTTCTGATTTTTGTTGCGGCCAATGTGGCTGAGAAGTTGCTCAGTTACTTGCGAAAAAAACATGGATGCTGCTATAGGTCTTCAGGGACCCTCTATATCCCTTACACTAAGTTCTGTATGTATATGTATATATATATATATGAGATAGCAGTATTAAAACATGAAACGGTTTGTAAAGTTTCCACCATTGCCAAATGCAAAAAAATGACCCTCGACCCAGTATTGCCAGAGTGTGGGTCAACAGTGTGAATCTCCATGTTTCCTCCCAATCCATCTATACATAATCTGGGTAGATGAGTGTTAACAATAGCAATAAATATAGTAATTCCATGTCACTAACCAATGTTCGGCTATCGGGATAAATCCTCTCTACACTCACCATCATCCCACCATCGTTCCGTCACGGCGTGGAGCTCCGCTCCTCTCCCGCTCCATGGCCATTGCGGCCGCGAAATCGTTGGGTTTACACACCGTTCTGGTTACAGAAATTAAAGCCCAACCTATATAGACACGAAACCGAAACAACGATCAACAGTAACATGATTTTACTCTTAAGCATATTTGGCTTTAGCATGCTTTAGCATTTGACTTTAAGAGATTTTAAGAGTTCCGATACTGATCCGATTTAATTTAACTGATGCAGAGAATATTGAGTGAATATGCACTTGTGATGTATTAGGTTCATAGCCCAACTCATGCTAGCAAGCTGGTGGCAGCGGCTCATACCAGAATCATCCAAGTGTAATTCTGTGGAGCACATTCAAGCAAAATGGTTCAAATTTGGCGATTTGTCCCAATCAACTCCGCGGTTGCTGTAGCAATGTTACTCATTCAATTTTGGTTCACCTGCCTTCCTGTCACAAGTCACAACATATTTAGGCGTCTATGTTTCTATACATAGCTATTGGTAATTTAACATAGCTATTGAACATGGCCATTTATAGTGAGTTTTTCCATTAAACATTGTGATTTTCCATTAGCTATGTAAACGTTTGCCAGAGGGTACACATAAAGTAAGTCCCAGATATCTTTGATCACTTCCAACGTGCAGGTTGAACCATCTGGGGACAGATGAACGAAGACACTGGCGATGTGCGATTTGGACTTTAGGCTGTAAGGATTTACAGTTTTTTAGGGTTTAGATGGGTTTAGGATCTTTGGGTTCAGGGTTTTAGGGTGGGTTTTAGGGATTTATGGTGTGTTGTTAAACAATGCTAGTCCTACATGGGATTTGAGTATGTCGAGGATCCAACAAAATGACCTGCCGAACCGGGTTCAGCCTGCAGTGTCGGCACCTTTTTTCAAAACCATTGGGAGCTTCGGTATCTCGGCTCCCACCATCCTGGCACTTCGGAACTTCTCATGACCCCCCAACACGTCGACCTTGCCGTATATGGGAACCAATATGGAAACTCATGAAATATCCGTAAAACATGTCACACCCTTGAACCTTTGAGCCTTTCAGCCACGCAGGGTATTTTGATGTATTTTGATCCCATGCCTCGGGTGCTTCTTTCGCGGCAGGGCTCCTGAAAAGCACAGGGCTCATCATCATCATCATCATCATCATCATCATCATCATCACCATCACCATCACCATCACCATCACCATCACCATCATCAGTTGTTGAATATCACATGCTCCCCATGAATCAAACACCTGATCACGGCATGCAAGGCATGCAAGTCTTCAGGCTATATACCTTTTAGAAGAAACACGTTGCCGTGCAGTGCGCTGCAGTCTCTTATGTTTCTGAGGCTCAACACTTTTGTGGAATCAACACCAACAAGTTCTTCCGCAAATGATGATGCGGTAGTCAGTTCAACTCTATCCACATCCTACAAAAAATCATGCTCAAAGATGTCGATATTCATTCTATATCTCCAGATTTTGGCTATCCTTCAGCCCAAACTTTCAACCAGCGCCACCCGGAAAATCTGGGAAAACCGCCTCACGCCAAGACCATGAATCCTGAGCAACAGTCGATTGATGTTGGAGGATGTGAGTCTTCCAATGTTTATCAAATTCTCGAATCAAAAGACATCAAAAGACATGTCCGAAACCCTGCCACAATGACAAACAAAGAAATCATTCTACAAAAAATGCAACCTGAAAAAATGTGCCAGACATTGGAACATGATCGACCAAACTTGTTGGAACTTTGGGTTGCTCAAAAAAACATGTCCTATACAGTACCTTGCCACAATGACAAAGAAAATGATCCTGTCTGCAAGCAGATTGTGACTGTCCGATGAAATGTATTAAAACGTAACCAAAAACAAATCACTCAACCTAATTGTGGAGAAACACTTTGCACCTTTGAGTAACTGAATAGCTTCCAACACTTCTGAGAACAACAAAGTTCTGAAGGGTCTACCGGTCTACCTGGTTCCCTACATTTCATCACACGCAAACATCAAGTAACGTTACTCCAATTCAGGAGCGATTCACACACAACTTTTTATACAATGTGGAGCCCCCAAACCATAGCAAAAAATTGTGGCAGATAACTCCAATAACTATGGCTCATGATATTAATTTATAGCTATTTTATAGCTATTTTATAGCTATTGCATTCATGGGGGTTATTTCATAAGTCACAGGGCCCACATTGGCTCCAGGGCTCGGCCGGAGTCAGTAGATCTCCCCATTTCTGGCCACAAACATCAACGTACGTCACTACACACTATGGCATATCATCTACCTCGGCAATTGAAAAATCAACCATTTTTGAACTAAAAATAGAACATCAATCCCAAATCAACTAAAAATTGGTGTTTTCTCTATTTGGGATTTTCCTAAAGGTGCGCCCAAATCATCCAAAATTCGACCAGTACTATGTACTGAAACCTATGGTTTTGGGGATCCTCCAGGACTTAAGGAACCAGCATTTCTATCCATTTTGCCATGTTTGGGCAATGAAGCCTCACTTGTGACCTTGGACAGCGCAGCACACAACTGAGAGATCCCCACCCAGCGGGACCACTTCCATTCGCGCAAGTGTCCTGGACTGGATGGAACCAAAAGCGTCGGTAACATTTGTTTTGTCTGAAAATCTAGGGCAGAAAACCCAAAAGCAAATGGTTTATCAGTTCATCATCATTTTCCCTATCAACATTGCGTTTTTGTTGGGGTGTACAGTCTAAAGTCTATGTATATATGGAGGTTTCCTGAAATGGGGGGTACCCTTAAATCATCAATTTTAGTGGGATTTTTCCGTTGTAAACCAACCAGCTATTGGGGATCCCATTTATGGAACCCCCCAGCCATACCATGGGTGAATCGCCAGCCACGCCACGTCCTTCTGGCCTTTCCGCGTTGGGCCTGGCTCTGGGGCACAGCCCACCTGGATTGGTTCCTAACATAGCTGGTGAATGGATGTTGATTTCCCACCCCAAAAAAATGTATGATTGTCGGTTTTGACCCATCCTCACATAAAGAGTATAGATTTATATAGTACATTTATGATCATATATATATATATATATGATTATATATGTATTTCTTGATAAGGGAAACTGAGGAAACACAGAGATTTTTGTTTGTATATCAGTATATCATATGTTTGTTTGATTTTGTTTGGGGATATCACGAGATATCCACATAACCAACTGATGTTCCTTGGAAAAAAACAAGAAGCACCGCACAGTGTCGGCACCGAACACACTTTTTCTTGGCCCGCCGGCAGTCCTTTGGACTGATCTGGGCTGTTCAGGCTGCAACTGCTGGGTGCCTGACATTACAGTAAGCTGCTAACGTTAGTACTGGGATCCGCCATCCTCAGTCTTACCCTTTTATGGGGTGTAACAAACCATCAAAATATGTGTGGTTTATGTTGGTTTACTATTGCTGTACTAACACACAATACTCATTATACCAAAAACAGAAGAAGTGAGGAGTATCTTGCGTATAATATGAGGTATATCATCTAACATTATACTCATTGTACCAAGAATTATACTCATTTACTCATCTAGTTGGTGGGTTTAACCATCTTGAAAAATATGAAAGTCAATGGGAAGGATAACATCCCATATATTATGGAAAATAAAAGTCACGTTTGAAACCACCAACCAGTCATTATCTTGGAAAATCACCATTTTTTAGAACGGTAAACCAACTATAAATGGACCATCTATACCATGGCTATGTTAAATAACAATAGGTAAACCAACTATAAATGGACCATCTATACCATGGCTATGTTAAATAACCATAGGTAAACCAACTATAAATGGGCCATCTATACCATGGCGAACTGTTAAATAACCATAGGGTACTCATTATCTTGCACACCATGTTATCTCATTTCACCAAACTGCGACTGTTCTCGGAGGAATGATGATGGCGACTGCGACTATTCTCCTCTCAGCCGGTCCTGGCAGTGCGATTCGTTGGGCCCGGTCGCTAGGAACCTTTTCTCATGGTTTATCATCTTTTAGATAAAATGATCATAAGATGAAGTAAGATCCATAAAGGTCAATTTTGATCCATAGAGCTGGCATTATTATATATTATTATCCAACCAAAATCCCGTTTACATATCATCGACAAATCCCCTCATTTTGATCCATAGCCATCTCCACAAATTTGAGTTTTACTCTGAGGGCACGCAAATCTGACCGAAGGCCTCACGCGAAAGTCTTTTCCTTCAGAGTCTCTAGAGACTCCAGACCTGCTGGATTTGGGAGATTCATGATGACATATGATGAGCTTTTGAAGAGCATGTTGCTGGGCCACCCATGGGTCGCTCCAAAAAAATGGAGTGACCCCCTCCATTGATCAACCAAGCCGTGGGAAATGGACAGTGGTTCAACCGGCCGGAAGATCGATTTGGAGTAGTGCCATCAAACAATTTCCCGACTTTTTTGGGAGACTTGACAGCAATGATGGGCTCCGCTTCCAAATATCAACAGCTATACCCATCTGGTTTAAACCCGAAAAGATAGAAACGGAATAATTAGAAACAGTTTGTAAACCACCATCGAATGTAGGTACTCAGTGGTAACAATTCACAAAAATAAACTATTACTTTAATTTACAGTAGGTAATACTCCAACTATAATCAACATATGTTAATTTGCAATTTACATCAATTTACTCTAAACATTGTATGCATGATTTTGTTTGATCGTGATCGATTGACTCACTATTAAATCACTATTACAAGTAAAAGTTGATCAAAGTCAAGTTAAGTAAACCAAGTAAACAACTACAGTAACTACATTTAGATATACGGACTTTAAATATACGAACAGGTATTTTAGACTACCTCCGGGAAGGTTTTCCTTGGCCCGCCCGGCCATTGAAACATACGGAATCCAATTCATTTCAACATACGGTAACTACATTTAAATATACGAACTGGTATTTCATACTACCGGGGCCTCGCGGTCTGGCCCGGCCTCCACATATTTCAATGTCGTTACCGTAGTAAATCACTATGTTGTATGGAAACTCACTATTAAATAAGTATTTTTCCTTACAAGATCACCATCTCAAGGTGATCCAACCTCTTGAAAAACCTCCAGCCGTGTCTGAACGTACCCCGCACCCCGGCCAGCCTAGAGTACTTCCTCGCCATGCCTGAAACACAAGGCATTAACCAAAAACCATTAGAAAAGATACATAAATACATCTATATTGCATGTATATCTGAACACATTGATTAACAAAAAAATATTGATCCCAATTAAGTACTGATATTGATAGTGTCATTGATGTGTACCTTGTAACGATATCAGTATCATCATTTAACTTAAAGTAAAAATCAAGGCCAAGGCCATTATAATGTATTTATACATACTTGAATACACAATATATGTACTTTAACGGGTTTCAGGCATTAATTATCCATAGTCACGGTGGGCCCAACAGTTCAATGGTGTGCAAGACTTGAACTGTGTCCCAAGCACAACAAATAATGGCAGTTATGCTCCGGAAAAAAAAAAAAATACACCATCACACAGTTTAATAAATGATTGAATTTCACAAGAATGCTGTTAATTCATCCTGGTAATCGCTGCTAACCATCAAAGAACATGTCCACCCAACCTCAATGGCAAAGGTGATCACTGCGCACAGCGGCAGAGCCAACATGGACGACAAGAGCCACGCATTTCTGGCCTGCAGCTTCCAGGTGTCGTCTCCAAGGGAGTGTAAATTAGTGATGTTTCTGCGTTCTTTCAAGGTGAACGAATCAAGTCTGAAATCGATATATATATATATATATTGTATATATAATTATATATATAATATGTATATATATATATATATGTATGTATATATATATACATATGTATATATATACATATATATATATACACATATATATATATATACATATCATATATTAGATATAAACATTGGAATCCCTAAAATGTATGATGTTTTTGTTGATGAATCTCCCATTTTCTTGCTGATTCTGCTCAGTCTTGCTGTGCCATCCCCGAAGAGACCTGGGGCCAAAGATTCGCAAGAGCCTCAGAAAACAAGCGGTGCTTCGGCGGGTCTCGTCTCGTCTGGGACAGTGGAGGGAAGGTTGCGAACGAAATCCTGCACCAGTTGAAGCAACAGTTCGGTAACTATGAAATCTAAGGGTTATATGGTTTATCCCCTAAGGGTTATATGGTTAAAAACATGTTGGTATATGGTTTATCCCCTTATAAACCATCTATGAAACACTGTAAATAATATGATCATAAGGGGATAAACATGGATAAACCATTGATACCATCTGGTGCAGGATTGAGCATTATTGACTGGTAGACTTGGGGCAGTACCACCAATTTTTTTCCGCCCAAAGACATGCCTGCCCTGCTGTGATATGCGACATAGCCACTGTCATGGCTGGTGGCCAAATCATCTAGTTCAAACATGCCATCTACAATCTGCAATAAGGGACTCCCAAAAAATGGAAGAATAGTCCCCAAAAAGGTTGCCCACATGGTGGATTTCCCATTGGGAAATAACAAATCACCTTAAACAAACCCAGGAATATACCAGGTTACATACTACCGTCGCAAGTTTGAGGGGGAATCCAGTCTGACATGCTGGAACATCCACCGTTCATATATGTCATATATATATAATGTTCATAGACTACAAAGGTCAAAAAAAGCGGCAGTTGTCTGTGTTTTTTACATCTACAATGTCTATAGAGGAATAATGCCCAACTCTGTTGCCCCCAAAAGTACTTCCCTGCGAATAGATGGCCAGGGCACGAGGTCCGAATCGCCCACCTGGGCGCCAAAGCAAAGACGTCTTAATGTAGGCATGGTCACAAAAAATACACAGATCAAATCTGTTCAAAACTGTTAAGGTGTAATTTAAAATTAGATTAAAGATCGTGAAGTGAAAAAACGTATGAGCTCCCGTCAAAATCCTCTACATCTGGGTAGTTGCTATTGTTATGGTTATCGCTTTTGGGGGGCCCTATCGCTTTCGAGGGTCTTGTGATGTTTTGTGGAAATCAGCGCATTCAAGATCCAACATGAAGCCAAAATCCATTCCTAAACAGGCTCGTAAATGGATCGAGGAGTTGTTTTGTTGGTTTCAGGTGCTTTGGCAGCACTTCATCTTCTTTTCATTTTGCATGCATTTCTCTTCATTTTCCTTCATGTTCCTTTCATTTGCATGCATTTTGCTTTCATTTTGCAGTCATTTCCTCACATGTTCCTTGCATTTTCCTTTCATGCTCCTTTCATTTGTATTCATTTTCTCTTCATGTTCCTTTCATTTTCATTCCAATGTGCATTCATGTCCTTTTATCTTCCTTTAATTTGCACGCATTTTCCTTTCATTTTGCATTCATGTCCTTTCATTTCCTTTTTAAAATTATGGAAAAATGGCTCTATGGCTTGGCCAGGGAACCGAGTGCAACAAATGGTTTTCGCTAAGTTATCGCTAAGGTTATCGCTAGATAACCCCTCCATTGTTCCAAGGAAATTTGCCACAAAACGAGAGAGAGAGAGAGAAAGCGAGAGAGAGAGAGAGAGAAAGCGAGAGAGAGAGAGAGAGTGAGAGAGAGAGAGAGAGAATGTGCACAATAGTATTTGCTTGGTTTACGCCAAGTTTAATGGACTTTCGGTTATCGCTTTTGGGGGAGCCCTATCGGTTTACAGTGTTTCATGCACGTCTCGGACAAAAAACTCCTGCAATACTAAAATGGTCTTCAACCATTTTGACTGTGGCTGATATGAATTGAGAAAGTCCTAACTATCAATGATCAAATCCACATGTCGGGTGGTATATAGCCATTGGTACACTGAGAAAGTATCATATATCGAATCCATATCCGTTATCGACTCGTTAAACCAAATCAAACTAATTTTGGGGATGGTTTCGTATTGGGTTTACAGGGTTTTCCACTTCCAAGTTGTTCTTCCCAATGTTCCCATCATATGCCCATTACAACCCTATTCCGGTTGATTAGTATTAACCATTAACCATTATTAAGCCATTAAATTCCACTAATAATGGTTAATACTAATCATGCTCATTACTTGCCATTGGCTTATACTTAATACTATATAGCTAATTAATTTCATTCTTAAACCCACTATAATCCTATATCAATCCATATCCTATAAATATCCTATTATATCATGGCATTCACGGTTTACCACATTACCCTCTGGTAATCAAACAAGGCATGCTGGAAAATCCCCTAAAATCTATAAAGGTTTTTTCCATTGGAAAAACAGCGCTGGCAAATCCCTAAGAAATCTCTCGTTTTATCATGTTTTTTTCCCCATTTCAATAGCCATTGAGTTGGTTTAAATTCCCATTGGCTAATCCCAAATCGAAATCGATGTTTGTTTTCCATCCTTTTTCCCATCCCATAGGATCCATGGTGGTATATATGCTAACATAAAGGGGGTATTTCTTGATGGGATCCATGGCACACCATATATAGATATATATAGCATAATTACATGGATCCTATGGCCATTGAAATAGCCATTGACCATTGAAATAATAGCTGGTTGGTGGTTTCAACCCCTTTGAAAAATATTAGTCAGTTGGGATGATTATTCCCAATATATGCAAAAATAAAAAATGTTCCAAACCACCAACCAGATAGCCATTTTGAGCAATTTTTTACCCAACGATGGATTTCCCAACCAGGCCAAGCTGCCCAGGTGAGGAAGATGGGCTCTTCGGCCAGCTGCACACCGAAGCGCGCGCTGGCCATGCGCGCAGCCTAGCCGGCGAAGCCAGCGCGGAGCTGAGACAGCAACAAAAAGATGGGGAAAAAGTCACTTAGCCTCTGGTAGACATACAAAAAGCTATGGAAAAAAATCACCATGTTCGGTAAATCAACTATTCTAAATGGGCAATTTTCAATAGCTAACTGTTAAATTACCAGAGGGTAGACTTAGACTTCCTATCACTATTGTAGTGTATTACAGTAGGACTTGTTCGATTCTTTTCGAAGTAGGACTATCATCTTCTATCACTATTGTGGAAGGACTTTTGTTCGATTTTTCGAAGTCTGGTTTTGGAGGTGCTATCATTCAAAAAAAAATCAGCAGGACTTAAGTGGTTTTAAACAACATTAGAAGATTGAACTGGTTTTGAACATTGAACATGACAGTTGGAACGAGGTTTGCTGACAAAAACGAGAAAAATCGTTCAACTAAGAAAACATAATGGTTGGACTGGTTTCATAAGCAAAAATAGGAACTGCTCAATGGTTGAACCAGCAACAAAAACGGTTGCTTTTGCCTTTGGACTAGCAAAAAGATGTCGCTAGTGTGTGCGCAACACCCAAAAAATCTCAAACCGAATGAGAATGACACACAAAAACAGAGTCTGACATAAATCAGTACAAGTAGTCATAAATCAATGGGGGAAAATGACACAACAAATCATCATAAATCAATGGTACATGAAGCGTCAACCAACCATGGGGGAATGGAGATGCGGGCCATGGTGGGAAAAACGAACGACTTTCAACAAACAGATCGTTCCAAAATATCAAGGTAAAAGTCATGGTAAATCATGGTAAACCATGGTAAATCATGGTAAATCATGATAAGTCATGGTAAATCTACTTGGATTGTGGGTAAATCATGGTAAATCATGGTAAATCATGATAAGTCATGGTAAATCTACTTGGATTGTGGGTAAATCATGGTAAATCATGGTAAATCTACTTAGGGTGGTTTGGAAGCCTAAAAATTCCAAACCATCAACCAGTCCGACTGTCGCTTGTCCAAGCTTTAGGATTGTTTTTTGCGGAGTCTCACCGCAGTGCAGCGCCCTTCCTTCATGTAGTAGTCCAAATCCTGCTTGAGGATCTGGTTCAAGGCCTCCCAACGTTGTGAAGAGAACTTAAGATACAGATTTCACAAGAAGATGTCAAGATAAATTAAAATGAACTTCACAGGGTGTAGTATTTGGATGTACTCATATGTACTTACATCCAAGTGTCTAAATGGTTGAACATCATTTCTATATATATATATATTAAATATATATATATATATTAAATACATATATATATATATACACATAATATATATATATAATATATATAATAGTGTATAACCATGCGTAAGCTGGGTTTTTACCATTGCAGGATGATCACCTTAACCACAGCAATAGACATCCAAGTCATAGACATTCAGAAAGACATCGTAGCAAGACTCAAGACATGGCGAGCTTGAAATCCACGAACTCAATGGGCAGTTACATGGGAAAACCCCGAACTAAATGGAGGTTTATAGCTGGGAAATCCCCTATGAAAATGGAAGGTTTATTGGGAACATCATCTAGATTTTTTTTGGGGAACTTTTCCAGCACGCCATGTTTGATTACCAGAGGATTGCCGTGTTTTCGACTCATCTCGGGCCACTGAAGTGGAAAGTATTTCTTCGTGGAGATCAAACCCAAATTCTGCGGGGATTCTACTTGGGCTACTCTGACTCAGAACCATCTCTTCCTATCTTTGACAATGACCACGATTCCCCCACCTCTGGATTTGAATCCGCTTACAAACTGATGGATGTGCATTACTTTGTTTATGGACACACATGTTACTCAAGTTACCCTCCATTTACTGCAGTAATCAAACATGGCAATAGAAAATCCGCCATTTATAGTTGATGTTCCTGTTAAAACCTCCATTTATAGATGTTTTTTACCATAAAAGCCTCCATTTTATAGTGGATTTACCCATTAAAACCATTTAAAACCCATAAAACCTCCATTCATAGTGGATGTTCCATGATTTTCCCATTTAAAACCCTCCATAGTCCATGTTTTCTCCAGGCATGTCGAGCTACGGTCACCTGTGTCTTGTTGAAGATCACCAGGCCAGCGTGAGCTGCCTCGAGGACCAAAATAAAATAGATTGCAGTAAAGTATCAAAACATCTATGCATGTATAGGTATATATATATGTATATGATATATTTATGTATATATATATAGGTATATGTATATATATATATATATGTGTACATATATATATATATATATGTAATTAATTAATTATATAGCTATAGCATAATACATCCGTTTTTTGCGGCAGTATGATAATGTTGAGCCATCGCCATGCGAGCTCGAGGCCTCCGTGCTCTGAAAAGAAGCACAGCGGAAACTCTGCCACTGGTTGACAGGAACTTCAAGAGTGACTAGTGAGAATGTAATGCTTGAGCCTCTGCTCACCTCATTTCAGACCAGTTTTGGCAGATACCCTGGGGTAAACTAACGATCTGATGTGGAAATCTTATATGCTTTTTCCAAAAAGATCTATAGGAAAATACTCTACCAACATGGTTGATGTTCAGTACCAAAAAGGCTCTCTGCCAGGCATCGCAAAAGTACGCTTGCGCAAAACTGACGGCGCCTCATCCATGGCTTCGCCGCAGGTGAACTCGAGGTCCTTGCAGCAGTCCTGTTGTCGTGGAAACATCCTGAAAGAGTAACATGGCGCCATAGCAATCTCTATATATCTCTATGAAAATGGGGAGATGGAGATGGCCATTCCCATTATATGATATTATATGTATGTTTTCACCATGGCACATATGAATATATATGAAATAAACATATGCAAAGCATATATTGTTTAGGGGGCAGAAACCACTATTTGGGGGCTTCACCCGGTGTTTCCTAAAATGGGAGGTACCTCCAAATCATCCATTTCAATTGGATTTTCCATGAAATAAACCATCCATATTTGGGCACCACAATTTTAGGAAGCACCCATTTAATCCCATTTATACAATTTATAGAATTTATCAACCGCACAATTTTTTTCTCAGCTAACTTGTCACCACTTTCCGCTCGCCAAAAAACCTCAGGTCAGCCATGCACAACCAGTGCACCTTCCCAGTGGCAAAGTATTGAGCCGCTGCGGCTCCTGGGCAAATGATGCCGGTGATACCCATAGGATCCTAGCGGTGCTGCTATATATGGTAACATGGATCCCATCAATATACCCCCAATGTTAGCATATATATAGATCCTATGGGATATGGTAAAGTGAGTTTCAAGGATTTAAATCCCCAACCTGTCGCCAGAATCTGGATAATCTGGTATCTAGTTGTAGCTCGCGAACCAGGCTTTGTAGCGATGAAATCACTATAGACTATTGGTTGGATTATGTAGATGGAGTGAAACATGTTATAGACCAACAAACATATACAAACATAATGTTTTGGGGCACCTTGTACCTCCGGCTTGACTTACGGACATGTTCCCTACTGGATGCCAGTCTCTGTCCTTCATACTCGCCAGTGCCCAGAATGGGTGCTACACAGTACTTCCTCAGCACTGGGGGCTGCATCGGACAAAGCCCTCATCTTCCAATTACCTGTCAGATAGGTAATCAACCCCAAAATCAACAGGTAAAAATCACCTTGGCTACCATCTTTGATCGGCAACTGGAAGGTTAGGAAAGGATGTCATCAGAAAAAATCACCCTGAATCTGTGCGGCTGCACCGCACCTATGAGGTTCCGGCTTCCCGCTGATGGTGCTTTCAATGACTTAAGTCGACTATAAAGTCCCATTAATAAAGATTATATACCCTCTGGCTATTTAACATAGCCATGGAATATCACCATTTTTAATAGGTAACCAATCTATAAATGGGCCATTTTCCGTGGCTATGTTAAATAACCAGATGGTACTCATGTTTACAAAGGCAGATAAGGCTGTGATACTGCGGCAGTTCGACTGGTGACTGGACACCAAAAAAAAAGGCCACTGGACTGAGAAAAAAACTGGTGACGAAGCGTGTTCATTCTGGGCTCCCAAATCTAGGATGTGTTCATTTTTAGGGGAAGATATATACCCTCTGGTAAACAGCCACATAGCTATTGAAAATGGCCATCTATCTATAGTGGATTTACCCATTAAAAATAGTGATTTTCCATAGCTATGTGAACGTTTACCAGAGGGTAGATGCTGGTTGGTGGTGCAATAACCATCTTGAAAAATATGAGTTCGTCAATGGGAAGGATGACATCCCATATATTATCGAAAATAAAAAAAATGTTCCCAACCACCAACCAGGATCAAGATAGGAAGATAGGATGCACTACAGTAGATAATTTGATGATGCCTGCACTGGTGTCCTAAGCCATCCCTTTTTTGATCCTCAGATATCCTCAGCGGCAGTCGATCTTCAACTGCTGTTGCAGCTGTGCGAAATCGCTGCGAAATCGATGACTTGGGCTCTTCAAAAGGGCACCTTTATGAACTATTCGTCAAAAAATATGGAAAATTGTTGGATATATTCTTGATATATGGTTGGCATATTTTTGGAATATCATTGGTACTGTATACTAGCTCGCCATGAAACCTTGGCTGGAAATGCTAAAGTCACGCTGCTCAGATGAAAAAAAAATGCTCCAAAAAGGTCAAAAACAGGAAAAAGTAAAAACCTTTCAAAAAACATACCAAAAACTTATCTGAACTTATCTAACTTATTTCACGATGTTAAGATAAGTACCTTATAACATAGACCCGGGCAAGCCGGCGGCGGAAGTTTCCCAAACATAAATGACCTATAGTTCAAAGACACCCTGTCCCGACCGTGTCCTTCCCTCGACAACCGTTTGATTTTTTCACCGAGAGACGAAGCAAAGTCTTCACGCTCCACACTCCACACTTCACACTCCACACTTCGCACTCCAAACTTCAAACTTCACACTCCACACTTCACACTTCACACTTCTCACTTCTCACTGCTTCCTTCACACTCCAAACCTCACACTTCACACTTCACACTGCGCTCTTCGCACTCCAAACTGAAACTTCACACTCAACACTTCACACTCCACACTTCACACTTCACACTTCGATTTATTCGCATGCATGACCCAAACAACGGCGGCGGGAACATGCACAATTCGCACACAGCCTGGCAGACCTGAAAGTACACATGCACTGCCTCAGGCTATACAAAACGAGCTTTCAAAACCGGATCTCGATGCCAAAACGCAAAAATTGCATTTGCCAAGCTTTGGTGTTTGCAAGCAGCCAAAATCTGAAAAAAATCACACTTCACACTTCACACTCCCCACTTCACACTTCTCACTTCTCACTGCTTGCTTCACACTCCAAACCTCACACTTCACACTTCACACTTCACACTGCGCTCTTCGCACTCCAAACTTAAACTTCACACTCTACACTTCACACTTCTCACTTCCCACTGCTTCCTTCACACTGCACACTTCACACTGCACTCTTCACGCCCCACACTTCACACTGCTCTAAACCTACGTGCAACAAAAAAACACTAGCGCCAAAATGGAGAAAATCTGCTAACAAATTCATTTCGCAGCCTTCATGCAGCCAGTCCAAGACGATTTACGAGATCCAGCTGCAAAAGACATTACGCATGCAGCCAAAGCAAGAAGCAACCTTGACGCAGCCATTCCAATGCGATCTGCGGAGACTTCTCGACGCCAAAGCGAAAAAAAGACGATTTTGAAGCACTTTTTAAAAGGATTTTTAGAAGGAAAATCACTAGCACCAAAATGGAGAAAATCTGCTAACAAATCCATGTCGCAGCCTTCATGCAGCCACTCCAATACGATTTACGAGATTACATGTCCCCCATTTAACGTCGACCCCAAGCGTTAGTTCCTGCAAGCTTCCCATGGTTTGATATACCAACACCCCTGAAACCCTCCATCTACTGTGTCCTTTCATGTGTCTTCGTTTTGGCATTACCAGGAAACACCCCCAAAACGACCCAAAGTCCCACTTGACCGTTTTTCCACGTAGTGGGAAGCCCCCAGGGGGGGGAAAACACCTACTTTCCACACACCGGGGCGGCCACAGAAGGGGGACATTTTGCTGGCCTCTCCACCAACTGGTCCTGCTGGAGCCATCACTGCCTGGCAGCACTGCTTGCAACTTAATGAACTCTGCTACCAACCTTCCCGCTCTTCTAACCTCGAATCCACCAACTCGTCTCCCTGGAGCCGTCACTGCCTGACAGCACAAAATGATTGCGTGGTTCTTTGCTTACATGTTCTCCATTTAACGTCGATCCCAAGCGTTGGTTTCTGCAAGCTTCCTATGGTTTGACATACCAACACTCCGGAAACCCTCCATCTTCCGTGTCCTTTCATGTGTCTTCGTTTTGGCATTACCAGGAAACACCCCCAAAACGACCCAAAGTCCCACTTGACCGTTTTTCCACGTAGTGGGAAGCCCCCAGGGGGGGGAAAACACCTGCTTTCCACCACACAGCGGGGCGGCCACAGAAGGGGGACATTTTGCTGGCCTCTCCACCAACTGGTCCTGCTGGAGCCATCACTGCCTGGCAGCACTGCTTGCAACTTAATGAACTCTGCTACCAACCTTCCCGCTCTTCTAACCTCGAATCCACCAACTCGTCTCCCTGGAGCCGTCACTGCCTGACAGCACAAAATGATTGCGTGGTTCTTTGCTTACATGTTCTCCATTTAACGTCGATCCCAAGCGTTGGTTTCTGCAAGCTTCCTATGGTTTGACATACCAACACTCCGGAAACCCTCCATCTTCCGTGTCCTTTCATGTGTCTTCGTTTTGGCATTACCAGGAAACACCCCCAAAACGACCCAAAGTCCCACTTGACCGTTTTTCCACGTAGTGGGAAGCCCCCAGGGGGGGGAAACACCTACTTTCCACACACCGGGGCGGCCACAGAAGGGGGACATTTTGCTGGCCTCTCCACCAACTGGTCCTGGTGGAGCCATCACTGCCTGGCAGCACAACATGATTGCGTGGTTCTTTGCTTACATGCTTTCAATGTAACGTCGATCCAACGCATCGGTTTCTACAACGCTCACCATGGTTTCACATTCCACCACCCCTGAATTGTGGTATGACTTTGGTTTTTGATGCAAGCCTCACTGCTTGACAACACATTACTCAAGATCCATGAACTCGGCCACATACCAACTTTCCCATTCTGCTAGCCTCCGCTCCACCAAATGCTTCTGCTGGCACCATGATTGCCTGGCGGCACTTTCTTTCAACGCAATGAACTCTGCTACCAACCCTCCGGCTCTTCTAACCTCGGATGCACCAACTGGTCCGGCTGGATCCATCACTGCCGGGAAAAAAAAACAGATTGTGATGATGTTGTCCTTCCAACACCCAATCACTTACAAGTTCTACTCTCAAGTCGATCCAAACCATTCATTTTTCCACTGCTTTCCATGGCTAATTAGTCACATACATCTGAAACATTCTATTCACCATCAGCTTTCGTTCGTCTTCGCTTTTCAATGGCCGAGCTTCTACCACACCGACCAGTCCGTGGCGAGCCAACCACACTTGAAACCAACATGCATCCGCCCCGCCTCTACTGGCGTCTCCACGGTGTTTCCGTCGCCCGGTGCCTCTTACATACTGACAAGCAAACCCAGTCAGAATTCAAGCCCGTGCCTCCACACATGCAGAAGCACGAATACCAAGCGCAACTGCTGTGGCATCCGGCCAACGCGTCTGCACCTGCAAAATCACTCCAAAGCTAAAAACCATTCCAGAACATGTCAAAGCAACTCCAAAACCCTGGCCTGGGCAAGCGAAATCTCTTCGCCCAGCAAATTGGGCAATTCACACAACGAGTTCCAGCACTTGACAGCAGCCACTGAAGGAATCTCTTCCACAGTCAACGCCGGCTTCATCAGAACATAGCGATGGTGAATTGCACTGCCAACGATCTCATGACCGATCGCATCGGAGTAGTCAATCAAACCTGTACTGTAGCTGTACTCTTTGGACCCATCGGTGCGCTCCCGAATCTGCTGGAAAGGCTGTAATGTTAGCACCTGATTAGTAGCATGGTACTCTATTGTGGCAAAAAGTTTCCTCCTTATTCAGTCACATGCCAAATGGTGGGGGGGGGCCTGTATTGTGGCAAATGTTTTTCCAGTTTTTTTTTTTAAATTTTTCCTAATTTTTTAATTAATTAATTATTTTTTGAATTTATTTTTAAATTAGTTACTTAAAAAAATGTTTTTCTGTTTTTTCATTTTTTTAAATTAAAGCTTTAAAATGCAAGGTTTTCCAAATAATTAGATGCCTTATTAAACCCTTATTAAAAACAGCTTCCAGACAATTTTTCAAGGTGGTACCCCATGAGTGGCTCAGTTACTCAATAATATGAATGTTTGGATGGTACTCTATTGTGCCAAGCAACTTTTGGGGTTGAAAAAAAATAAAAAAAAACATTTCTCCACCTTTCTTTGAGTAAAGCTGGTCCATTTACTTTAGGAAACCATATTTGTATTAAAGCTTTAAAATGCAAGGTTTTCCAA